TTTTTTTTTTTTTTTTCAAAACAGGTTATGTAAAACAAAACTGTACTGTGCATTATTTTGAACAACTGAAAGTGCATTAAAGTGAAGACATAGCAAATTTGCTGTCATCTTCAGTGCCTATTCCAAAACAACAGTTTTAAAGCGTCACTGAACAAATTCTACAAATTCGGAATGGTTGTCAAGAAAAAACTGAAAAAGAAAAAAAAATTACTATAAAAATTCATCTTTGTTGTATTTCTGAAATTACTGCTTTGCAATAAAACCGGAAAACTGGAACAACTTATTATCAAAGTACACTTAAATGTAATAATAAATAATTCGTAGGTTCATTATCGGTTTTTTTCTTTCACTCCAGTTTTAGAACAGTTTTTACGGTTTGTAGTTTTCTTTGTTTTTCTTCTAAAAACTTTCCCCAATTCATATTTATTTTAAGTTATTCAATTTCATCACTATATTTTTTAAAACATAAAAATTGAAGTTGAAGATTATTCACAATATTTTTTACAAAAGCTTTAATTATACCACAATTACACGTTTTGATTCTTCCCAGTATTTAGTCAGTTTCATATAGTAACCAAACGAAAAATTGCAAAATTATTGTAATAGCTGATTTTCTGTGACAAAAAAATTAAACTTTTTATTTTGCCTTTTCACGAATACAAGAGAAAAGTTGCAGTAAATTTACATTTTAAAGCGAAAAAAAAAAAAGTAGGCAAACAAATTGTTGTCAAGATAAGCCATTAGCAATTCCGTTTATTTAGACATTGACGTCATACTGTTATTTACAGCTTCAAATAGTACCAATAAAAATTGATGGTTTATTGGCAGTAGAAAAAAAAAAAGTTGCAAAAAGCAAAATAACTGCACTTTTTGATGATGATTTGATTTGATGCCTTAGAATGACCATTTTAGAAAACCCTCGTGCAATTTTGCATTGGCATCTGTAGCTGTCAAATTGTCAACAATAAAGTATCAAGACCACTGAGAACATAACTGTTTGCCTTTATCTGTGTATTATATAACCGCAACAAAAAAATTTAATAACAGATTAGGTTTTAAGTTCGATAAACCCAGT